GGCAACGGCTTCGGTGGTTCCTCCGGCGGCGGTTCCGGTGATTTTTTCGGCGGCGATTCTGGCGACGGCTCCGTCGACTTCTCCGGCGGTGGCTCCGGCGGCGACTTCGGCAGGGGTTGACATTCTCGCAAGGTAATATCTAATTTTCGATTGTTAGAATATATGGGTATTGCGAGAATAAATATGAAACCGAGTCGATGAGGGATCCTCTTTCCGAAAATTAGATACGTCTCGGTAGTGCCTCCGGTGGATGCGTTCTAACCTAAAGATAATACGGTTTCCGTTTCCAATGAGAGTGGCACCTCAAATCGTTGGAGCTCCGGCGAACAAAACGAGAGAGGAACTAAGGTGAGGAGACTGCCGAAAAGTTAAAAAAGAGGAGAGAAGGACGAGAGGATTATTTGTGTTGGTTGTTAGAATGAAGGGGGAGGCCCTTTATATAGGCGTCTTCACTCGGCCAAAATGGCAGGGGATCAGTTACGATCATAATTACAACCTTAATTATCGATGTAATTACTTATAAATTCAAACTTTCCGTTTGAAGCAGTCGTAGTTGATTCTAATTACAAACCTTCCGTTTGTGATGATCGTAATTTATTCTAATTTCAAACCTTCCATTTGAAACGATTGTAATTTATTCTAATTTCAAACCTTCCGTTTGAGATTATAATAAATCTATCCAACGGATAATATTTAATCCAAATAATATTGCGATTTAGGCCATATACCCGAGTTTAATTTGGGGTTGCACAATTTGGTTTGTTTTGAGACAGGCAAAATAGCCAAAATATTAACCAAACCCCATACACAATAAATAATATTTATTTATTTCTTCACCGGCCCATCGCATTTTCACTCACAAAATAATCGATTGTAAAATAACCAATTATCCAACATTTTTTTCGGGGCACTTTAAATTCCAACTTAAAAACATTCAAATTCATTCTCTTCTCGTTTTCTACTAGCACTACACTCTATTTTTTATTTTCAATTACTATTTGACTCTCTGATACCTATTTTGCCCTTGAAATTACTATATAATATGACGAATATTGTGTGTACTTTTGTTATTTTTATGTAAATCTACATTATCTAATTATGTACTCCAAAATTATCTCGTTGTACCAAGAAAATATCATAGTCATGTGCCTGAAATTTTTACTTACGTATTAAAATCGGTTACAGAAATTTAACTGAAAAATAAGACAATTCTAATAGAACCCATTATCTGAAGTGGCTGATGTTATATTTCTTCCAATTCATTCGCCTCGCACGTTGCTCTTTTCCGTCGAAGCCCCCCACCAAAGTAATCACCACCGAGCTTCCCCATAGGAACTTTTGCCGCCGTCAGAAGTCTCTATTCACCGCCCAGAGCTCTGCTTCCGCTCGCAATGTCGAAAAAGACCTCTCAAAATGGAGTTTGAAAAATTAAGTTAAATTTATGTTTTTTGTAGGATTGAAATTTTGAGTTCATGGTATGCTTTGATCTATTTTATTTGTGTCTCGATTGGGTTCGTAGAAGCCTCAGTGGCGGGTCATTTTACTTTGACATTATATCACACCATCGTGTCAAGTATGAGTTACTTTGATGTGTTTGAAATTATAAATGATCTTGTTGTTTAGAAAAGTACCTTCATTTGCATTTTTATGTGTTTACATTCACAGTAAAATGATTTAAATGTCGACAGATGGTGCTTCTTGTATTTTTCGAATAACATAATCAACTTATTTTTGTCGGACGATTTTTTAAGTACTAAGGTGTTGGATGATGTTTCTGTCATAGGATTAGTTATAGATGTATCTATTTTACCGATTAGTGAATTTTGTTTGTTTTATATATTATTTACGAGTGTCTCCCATTGCCTTTGATGTGTTTTGATTGTTAATTTATATACCTCAAATAGAAGATTACTTACCTTCATAGTTATGTCATAAACTTGTGTTTGTATTGGGTATACTCATGAATAATGGCAGACCCGAAAAAGAATACAAATAACTTTCCTCCAAATTCTCGATACATTTCTTCTATACAAACATAATTAAACTTAAAGTTTGGATGAACGACAAACAGTTAAAAGCTCTACAATTTACACTGTTTCGGTATTTTCTAGAGTGTCCAGAAAAAAAAAAAAAAAAAAAAACTACATTGGCATCGGTTGTGGGTATTGTGAATATGTTTGAAATCGAGTATCAGACATTTAGAATTGGTTATGAAATTGAAATAAGTTTTTCTGATAAAGAATTCTTTATAGTTCTTGGATTACACTCGGCATGTATGTGTCTGAAAATGATATTGTATGATGTTATTTCTCGTATAGAGTGATTTTTTAAGTACTGAAGGTATTTGTTGATATCTCTATCATATTGTTAGTTGTTCATTTGTCTATTTTTTCTTACCATGATCCACAATATGATATGTTGTGTCAAATCTATCTTATGTAATATTTTCACCCACCATTGAATACATGAAGAGATCAATAGATATGATTAATAAACACTAATATTTGATGAAATAACAATGATATATTCAACCCACAACCGTCTCATCTAGCCATAATCAATGAAACATTTTTGATAATCGCTTAAATACTCATATTTATCAAATTGATATCCACATAACAATATAAATACTTTCATACACAACGATAAAGCCTGTTTATTAGATAAGTATATATTGAGTCACACTCAATATACCCCAGGCACATAACTTCATACTTTTAAAATAATTGTAAGAACTTTATATAAAAATTAAATACCTATATTAATCAATGTAATTTTTGTTAATATAAATTCAGGTAAACGAATGCAATATTCTATAGGCCATGTAATCAATAACTATGGTTCACATGTACGCATTAGTGATTAATATGTTCCTCAAACTGTAGGAATATCGAATATCACTTATGCGTAACATTTATTCCATATATCTTCTAACACATTTTTTTTTTTGCTTGGACATTCCTCATATTTTAAAAAATGCTTATAAAAACAATCACAATACATAGAATATCACATGTCATCAGTTATGCACTAACTCTAGAATATCTATTACTTTGGCCCACCACATGATATGTTATGTCATATGACGAGGTCGTCAAAGGCGACGATGAACCTACACTACCACCCGGTCCGATTACTCAAAACCGTGCCAAGAAGTTTCAAACTAATGTTATGACATTAATTCTATACTTGGAAGAGGATAAAATGCATAAAGTTGAAGCATGGAGGCCAATGGGAAGAGCGTTATCAACATTGGAGTGCATCCACCCTTGAAGACTACAATTTATAACACCCATGGGAGTTTCTACTCACATCATTACCCATGTGGGATAAGAGATGTTTTATTTTATTTAATAAAGTGGGTCCCATCAATCTAATTAATTGGACATCTCTTATTTACTTAATTAATGGGATATAAATAATATATTTTTGTCCCACATTGGTTGTAGAGTCTTTTTCCAAGCTAGCCTCCCCTATAAATAAGGCACTTGGGTTCACTTGTTAGACACCTTGAAAATTATATCAATTGAAGTTTCTTTTTATTCCATTAAATTGGAATTAGTGTGTGAGCGATGGTTACTCTTGCATGCGCGTATCATTCTCAAATCGGGTCCTTGGGTTGATTCCTTGGGTTCGTGGCTTCCGAAACCGACCGGAGTTTCTAGCCAAATCGTTCGAGTCTCCATTGGTTTAGAGGTGTTGGGTCTAGGCAACGCTTGGGTTCACATTCGATCGATTGAGGAATCGGACACCGGTAATATCTTTTTTTTTTACTTAGTTTTTTTATTTGAATTTAGTTTTAAATATCGGTTAGTATAGTTTAGTTACTTGGGCTGCGTCATCAATTTGGTATCAGAACCCGTTTTTGTCGGAATTCTTATTCCGGTAGTATTAATAGTCTTTATTTCATATTTTTAAATTATGTTAAGATCATTTAAATTTTTGTAAGTAGCATTATCATTGTTGGGCAAATATATATATATATATATTGCAAAAAAAAAACTGCAGAAAATTTAAAAAAAAATACTGCAGAAAATTAAAAAAAAAATACTGCAGAAAAAAATAAATAAAAAATACTGCAGAATTTAAAAAAAAAAAAAAAAAAGAAAGAAAAGCCCCTCTTTGAAATACATTGTGATTTTGAGTATTGTATCCATTTGTTTATTTGTGGATATCGGTTTTCTTGCGATTGTGCTTTCATTGTTGGTTCGTTACTATTGTTGAGTTTGGCTTCTTGGGGTACACTCGTCAATTTATATTGGCTATATTCCGTGAAGTTTAGTTGGCTATAATTCAAGGGGCTTACCAAGGACCGTGAAATTTGAGCGCGTGTGTAAGACGGAGAGGTACATTACGTGAGTATACACGAGAGGGTGAGGAAATCATTTATCTAACCATCTATATATATATTTCCACTATAATTTTATATGGCAGGTGAGAAAAGTGACGAGGAACATGATATGGCATCCGCATCAAGTTTTGACCCCAAAATGTTCGTGAAGGATATGATGGTGGAAGTACAAAGGGTACTTCGACATGAGGTTGAGGGACTCCATGCCCGAATAAATAAATTGGAAACATCGAGAGTAGAAGGGAATGCAGCCCCTCCACGTCCCCACATTGGAATTCCACCTCTAGGACGAGGACAACCCGGGAATGCTCCAAGGCATGAACGAGTTCGTGATCTTCTCGAAGATGATCGTGACATGACTGAGTATGATGGAGAAGTAGAGAGCAATGTTCCTCTTCGAGGACGACGAGGAGCACATAGGAGAGATGACAATGATCCAATTCGTTCTATGAAATTCCAAATCCCACATTTCTACGGGAAATATGATTCAGAAGCATATCTTGATTGGGAGCGGAAGATTGAGCTGATCTTTGATTGTCAAGATTTGGATGGTCCACAAAAAGTCCGAGCTGCGGTCTCCGAGTTCAAAGATTATGCCATTCATTGGTGGGACAATATTTGCCTAAATCGAAGGTGAGGTGGAGCACCGATGATTCAAACATGGGAGGAGTTGACACGTGTCATGCGAGCTAAATTTGTGACGAGTTCGTATACGCAAGAATTGCATGTTCAACTGCAATCGATGAAGCAAGGAAATAGGACAGTCGATGAGTTCTACAAGGATTTGGAGGTGACTTTAATGCGGGCTGATGTTCGAGATAGTCAACAAGCCACGGTAGCGAGGATCTTGACGTGGCTGAATCGAGACATTGCTGACAAAGTGGGATTGTATCATTTTGATGATATTGATGAATTGGTGGAACGTGCTATTACTATTGAGAAGCAATTGAAGCGTAAGGGCAAACAGAAAACATTTGGTACGAAGCCCTTCACACCAAATTATACCAAGAAGGATGACAAAACCCAAGTGGGTCAAGGATACGGTAAAGGAAAAGGTATTATCAAGGATGACACGCCACGGAACAAGCATGTTGGAGCTGATCCGGAGAAGCCGAGGAATCGAGATATCATTTGCTTCAAGTGTCAAGGTCGAGGCCACATTGCAAGTCAATGCCCAAACAAAAAAATGATGATCCTCAATAAGTTTGGGGAATACGAAACGGAATCTGAAAATGAGGAGGGGGTTGATCAAAGAGTAGATGAGAAAAATAACACGGATGATGATTCTGATTCTGGTGTTGGTTTGAGTTTGGTTACCTTACGAGCCTTAAGCACTATGTCAAGGACCTTTGATGAGGAACAACGAGAAAATCTCTTTCAAACTCGTTGCATAATTGGAGGCAAAGTGTGTAGCCTCATTATTGATAGTGGGAGTTGCACAAATATTGTAAGTGAACTTGCTGTTCGAAAATTGAATTTGCTAACAACACCCCACCCCAAACCATTCAAATTGCAGTGGGTTAGCAATTACGGAGATTTGAATGTGAACAAGCAGGTGACGGTTCCTATCAAGATAAAAAATTATGAGGATCAAGTCGTTTGTGATGTGCTACCGATGCAAGCTTGTCACATATTACTTGGAAGGCCATGGCAGTTTGATAGAAAGGCTCATCATGATGGATATTTGAATAGATACTCATTTGAGTTTGAGAGTAGAAAGATATGTTTAAAGCCGTTGTCTCCAATGGATGTCCATGAGGACCAACTCTACATGGATCGTCAATTTTTGGAAGAAGCCAAAGAAAAGAGAGAAAGAAAAAAGAGTGAAAAAAATAAGAGTGAAAAAGGTGAGCATAGGAGTGAGAAAAGTGAGAGCGAAAAAAATAAGAGTGACAAAAGAGAGCAAGTGAGTGAACAACGCAAGAGTGAGCTTGAAAGAAAAATGCTTGTGAGCTTGAGAGAGGCAAAAAATTTGAAAGTTCATGAGGGAAGTTCTTATTTACTTTTGATTAAACCTGTTTATTTGTCTAAACAAGAGCTAATGGAACTCCCTCCCAATGTTGCTTCTCTTTTGCAGGAATATCAAGATGTGTTTCCTGATGAAGTAACCGGAGGATTACCACCTATTCGGGGCATTGAGCACCAGATGGATCTCATTCCAGGTGCATCAATTCCAAATCGTCCAGCTTACAAGGCAAGTCCAGAGGAAGTCAAGGAAATACGTAAGCAAGTGGATGAGTTGCTTGACAAAGGCTGGATTCTCAAAAGCCTAAGCCCTTGTGCTGTACCGGTTCTTCTTGTCCCAAAGAAGGATGGCGGGTGGAGGATGTGCATCGATTGTCGAGCCGTAAATGCCATAATGGTAAAGTATCGACACCCTATCCCTCGTTTAGATGATATGCTAGATGAACTGCATGGGTCAAAATACTTTTCTAAAATTGATTTGAAAAGTGGATATCATCAGATTAGAATGAGGGAAGGTAACGAATGGAAAACTGCATTTAAAACTACGTTCGGCTTATATGAGTGGTTAGTCATGCCTCTTGGTCTTACGAATGCTCCAAGTACGTTTATGCGGTTAATGAATCATGTATTACGTACCTTCATAGGGAAGTTTGTTGTGGTTTACTTTGATGATATTCTCATTTATAATAAATCAATGGAAGAACATGTAGAGCATATTCGTAGTGTTTTGGAAGTGTTAAGAGCTGAAAAGCTTTATGCTAACCCGAAGAAGTGCGACTTTTGTGTTGAAAAATGTATTTTTCTTGGTTTTGTTGTAGGTGCTGAAGGGATAAGTGTGGATGAAGCTAAAACACAAGCTGTTCGGGATTGGCCAACACCTAAAACGATCAAGGAAGGTCGTAGTTTCCTTGGACTTGCAAGCTTTTACCGCCGCTTTGTGCGAGATTCTAGCTCCATTGCAGCACCACTGACTGAGCTTACAAAGAAAGATAAACACTTTGATTGGGGAGTTTCTGAACAAGCATCTTTCGATTTTCTTAAGAGAAAACTTACTAACGCTCCTGTTTTAGCTCTACCGGATTTTACTAAGCCATTTGAATTGGAATGTGATGCCTCAGGAATTGGGATTGGAGCTGCTTTGATGCAAGGAAGGAAGCCGATTGCGTACTTCAGTGAGAAGCTGAGTGGGGCTGCCCTCAACTATTCGACGTATGAACGAGAATTGTATTCGTTGGTTCGTGCACTTCAAACATGGCAGCACTATTTGCGATCACAAGAATTCATTGTTCACACTGACCATGAATCATTAAAGCATTTAAAGAGTCAACAAAAGCTTAGCAAACGGCATGCAAGATGGGTAGCATTCGTGGACACATTTCCTTACTCGATTCAGTACAATAAAGGAAAGGAAAATGTTGTAGCTGATGCGCTATCAAGGAGGTACGAGTTGCTAACCTTGTTAGAATCTAAGCTTATGGGATTTGCATTCATAAAAGATATTTATATGAATGATGTTGATTTTTCTGATATCTTTGCAAAATGTGCTACGCATGGCTTTGGTGATTATTATTTGCACGATGGATATTTGTTTCGTGTGAATCGTTTGTGTGTACCTAGGTGTTCACTTCGTGATGTGTTAGTGGTTGAGGCACATGAGGGAGGTTTAATGGGTCATTTTGGGCGTGATAAGACATTGGGTGCATTGCAAGAACACTATGATTGGCCTAAAATGAAGCATGTTGTGGAGTCTTATGTGAATAAATGTGTTGTTTGTAAGATTGCAAAGTCACATGCACAACCACACGGTCTATACACACCCTTACCTATTCCAGAAGCACCATGGACTGATATTTCAATGGATTTTGTTATGGGATTGCCTAGGTCTATGAGAGGAAATGATTCGATTTTTGTCGTGGTTGATAGATTTTCAAAAATGGCACACTTCATTGCATGTAAGAAAACCAATGATGCATCTCATGTTGCAGATCTATTCTTTCATAATGTTTTGAAATTGCATGGTGTCCCTAAGACAATTGTGTCGGACAGGGATACAAAGTTTCTTAGTTACTTTTGGAAGACACTTTGGGCTAAATTGGGAACTAAGTTGCTATTTTCTACATCTCATCATCCCCAAACGGATGGTCAAACTGAAACAGTGAATAGAACCTTAGGGAACCTACTTCGTGTCTTGATAAAAAAGAACTGCAAAAGTTGGGAAGAATGTTTGTCTCACGCTGAATTTGCATATAATCGTGCATTGCATTCTTCGACACACATGTCTCCTTTTGAGGTTGTTTATGCCTTTAATCCTCCAACACCTTTGGATATGTTACCATTGCCTAGCAATGAGTATTTTAATAGTGATGGCAGGAAACGGGCTGAATTTGTGAAGGAGATGCATTCAAAGGTTCGGGATAACATTGCAAAATCAAACGCTCGGTATGCTAAAAGTGCTAACAAAGGTCGAAAGCATGTAGTGTTCCATCCAGGCGATTGGGTGTGGTTGCACTTGAGAAAAAGTAGATTTCCCGAGAAACGGAAGTCTAAGCTGAGCCCAAGAGGAGACGGGCCATTCCAAGTTGTGGAACGCATCAATGACAATGCATATCGTATTGAGCTACCGGGTGAGTACCAAGTTCACAGCACATTCAACGTTGCTGACTTAAGTCCTTTTGATGTAGGAGATGAACATACTATTAAAATGGGGGACTCAATTTTTCAAGAAGGGGGGGATGACGAGGTCGTCAAAGACGACGATGAACCTACACTACCACCAGGTCCGATTACTCGAAACCGTGCCAAGAAGTTTCAAACTAATGTTATGGCATTAATTCTATACTTGGAAGAGGAGAACATGCATAAAGTTGAAGCATGGAGGCCAATGGGAAGAGCGTTATCAACATTGGAGTGCATCCACCCTTGAAGACCACAATTTATAACACCCATGGGAGTTTCTACTCACATCATTACCCATGTGGGATAAGAGATGTTTTATTTTATTTAATAAAGTGGGTCCCATCAATCTAATTAATTGGACATCTCTTATTTACTTAATTAGTGGGATATAAATAATATATTTTTGTCCCACATTGGTTGTAGAGTCTTTTTCCAAGCTAGCCTCCCCTATAAATAAGGCACTTGGGTTCACTTGTTAGACACCTTGAAAATTATATCAATTAAAGTTTCTTTTATTCCAATATATTGGAATTAGTGTGTGAGCGAGGGTTACCCTTGCATGCGCGTATCATTCTCAAATCGGGTCCTTGGGTTGATTCCTTGGGTTCGTGGCTTCCGAAACCGACCGGAGTTTCTAGCCAAATCGTTCGAGTCTCCATTGGTTTAGAAGTGTTGGGTCTAGGCAACGTTTGGGTTCACATCCGATCGATTGACGAATCGGACACCGGTAATATCTATTTTTTTTACTTAGTTTTTTATTTGAATTTAGTTTTAAATATCGGTTAGTATAGTTTAGTTACTTGGGCTGCGTCATCATATCTATTCTAAGTGATATTCTCATTCACCCTAGAATACATGGATAAGTGATCTCATAGGTTGTTTCAGAAGTATCCGGTGATGCACGTTAACTTCCGACAAAAAATGTGTGATGCAATCAACTCGCAGTTGTTTGATCCATTAACAATCAATAAAAAAATATGGATAGATACTTAAGAACCCTTGTTTACAATAACTTGCAACATACTTTCGTTGTGAATTCATATACCCTTATTTTTACTTTGGAAGAATTAATTTAGACTAATACAACCCAATATATATAATAATTGTGTACATCCAATAAAATATAGTTTACACTAATTTCCAAATAATTCTATAGTGGTCTTTTACACATATCTAAATTCAATGTACAATCTTCCAAAATAATTAAAAAAAAACACAGTCATGAGAAACACACCAGAAATACCTACAATAAAGTCTAATTACAACTTCGTCGATTGTCTCATAGACAATCATAACGATGCTCGTTCATCAAAGACATTACTTGTTTCCATATGAAATCAAGCATCTCGAAAAAAAAACAATGACCTTGTTGAGCGCATCCGATCATTCCACGACTTGACTATATTGCTATTATTATCCCACAATTAGTCCATTAGAATATAGAATTAGCCCAATACTGGAGCTACGATTGTGTAATGAAATTTTGGAAAAGTGGTATGGCCTCCGCAGCAGATGTTAAATGCTACTCAAAATCCTTCTGTAGGGGGCATAATCAGCTTTGTTGAAAACGAACGTACATCATTTCTTGTTGTGCATCGTATATCTTCATATTACCTATACAAAATGTAATTATGTTGTTGTACATATTAAAATAAATAAAAAAATATATTCTACACATATTTGAGTGTGAAAGTTGACCACTATGTACAAGGGACAATATGTGTCGTGGGCTTTTAGAAATACGATGGGGATGGATTTTAGAAATCCCGAATATCTATCCGAAAAATGTATTTTTGTCAATTATCAACCATAAACGTGAAGAACAAATCTTAACTTGCAACAAAACCATTCCAAAATTTATCGTTTTTTGTAGACATTGTTGCATAGAAACACGATTTTAACATTATTCAATATACAAGTACACAAAATAAATATCAAGGTTCTTAGATGAGTAGTCATAGTATATACCAATAAAACTGGGGCATTTTCAAACAAATACAAATTGGAATATCATACAACATGGGTATAACATTAGTAAATATAAGTAAACTACACCAGAAAAAAAAAGTATCTCGGAAAATGCCTACGCATACTAGTAGAAAATCACAACAACCCCATCTCCCACCACAAAGCTTTTATCCTATACATACTGTCCCAACGAAAGGTCATAATGAAACACATTTAACAACTACTGCAATCATAATCTCGAATAGGGAAACAATTACCAAAACAATAGTGAAATATTTACCAAAATTGATTGCGAATCTTAACAATACCACCGTATTTAACCAAAAAATCACAGCAAGAGAATATTCAGAATTTAAACTTTCCCTTACCAATGTCTTCTTAGCACAAAATAAACCTAAAGATTAGAAAATTGGATTCGGAATCGAAACTTCCCCTTATCAGTTTCTTCGTCATCACAGATTCTCCATTGATCATGCGCGAATGAACCCGCAGGTTAGAGAGAAGCACTACATCACGGGAAAAGAACCTAACAAAGAGAGAGAACTATCATAACTGATAAAGTAGATTTTGGGGGTGGAGAAGGACAATTTTGGAATTGTCACTAGGGTAAGGAGCTAATGCCAATATTTTTTAAAAGTGGAGAGTGCAGTGTGTGTAAAAGAGGTGTATGGACTGAACTTAAATGTCAAAATACCAATGGGGATTTAAATCAAATTTTCCGTTTTTTAATTGATAGGTTATATAATACTCTAAAACATAAAAGAAAAATCAGATATTAAATATTAATTATTTTATATTTTAAAATTATTAATAATAAAATAATTTGTTTTTTTAGTATTTTGATTTGAAGAATTCGTTTT